TCTCTCTCTCTCTCTCTCCCCACCCCCCAGATAAAAACAAGGAGGAGGATAAAACATAATAGACTTTTAAATACAGAGAACAAACTGAAGGTTGCTGGAAGGGTTGTGGATGGGGGGGATGAGCTAAATGGGTAAGGGCCATTAAGGAAGACACTTGTCTGGATGAGTGGTGGGTGTTATACATAGGGGATGAATCACTGGAATCTAATCCTGAAATCGTTACTGCACTATATGCTAACTAACTTGGGTGTAAATTAAAAAATATATTTAAAAAATATTCTTTAAATGCAAAGAATAAGCCCTGTAATTAAGATATGTCCAAAGCACTGAAAGCGTATTACTACATTTTAATTTACACTTGAATTCATAAATAAATAATTCCTATAAATTTGTTACCATGTATTTTGTAAAAAGTTTACTTAAATGCCAAAGTTTCCCAAGACAGGTGAATTTTTCCTATTTCTTATGTTAGAGTGCCATCTACTGGAAATTCTGGAGAACAGCAATCAGCGATTTGTTATGTTAGAGTGCCATCGTGTGGAATTTTCTATAATTGCACAATTGTATTTTCCCGATTTCTTGTGTTAGAGTGCCATCTGGTGGAATTTTTATGTTATTGCAGCACCAATTATTTATTTATTTTCTTTTTGTGTTGCAGTGCCGCCTGGTGGAGTTAGCGTGTAATCGCAAAACAATTTTATTTATTTATTTATTTATTTATTTATTTATTTATTTATTTATTTATTTATTTTTCTTTATTATCGAACTATCTGTTTGATTGTTTCTTATCATTCATTTATTTATTTACCTATCTCTTTAGCTGTCCATTCTTTTATTTAACTAGCTAGTTGGCTAGTTGGCTACTTAGCTAGTTGGCTAGTTAGTTGGTTAGTTGGCTAGTTAGCTAATTAGTTACAGTGTCACCCAGTGGATATATTGTGCAATTGCGGATCAGAGAAGTTTTTTCCTATATCCTTAGGGTGCCGCCCAGTGAAATTTTCAAGTAATTCCAAATCAGATGTTTTCCTATTACTCAAGTTAGAATGCCACCTAGTGGAATTATCTTGCAATTGCATGATACATTTTTCTCCTACTCAGGTTAGAGTGCCACCCAGTTGAATTATCTTGCAATCACATAACATGTTTGTTTTTCTTACAGGTTTCCCTTGCTATCCAAAAGTTGAAGGTTCCCATGAAACCATTCCTAAGCCGAAATGGCATAAAGCAAAGAGTGTCCCCTCCCTTCCAAAAGTTCGAGTTACACTGCTTGGTCTTAGGAAGGACCTACATTAGTACATTATTACAAAAGTGAAAATCCTCTTCGGATTTCTTTCACCTAGGGAAAACAGGTACTAATGCAGTCCTCTCCAAAGAGGGAAGTGGCATAACTCACTTGTGGTTAGTTCGGGGAAAGCTGTATTCAGGTTAGAGTGCCACCTGGTGGAATTATCATATAATTTCAGAGCACATATGTTTTTCCTAGTACTCAAGTTAGAATACCACCTAGTGGAAGTATGTAATTGCAAAACCACTGTTTTTTCTGCTACTCGGGTTAGGGTGCCACCTGGTGGAATTTTCCTACAATTACAGAACAGGTATGTTTTTAATTTCTCACGTAAGAGTCACCTGGCAGAATCATCCAGCAATTACAGAAAAAAAATGTCTTTTTGTTACTTGTGAAAGAGTCCCACCTGGTGGAATTGCTCTTTGTTAAGAAGTAGACCAGTGATCCTCAAACTTGGCATCTGGATCACCTGGAGAGCTCTTTAAAAGAAAGACTGCAGGCCCCCAACCCGAGTTTCCTATTTGGGGGGTTTGGGTTGGGGTCTGGGAATTTGCATCTCTAATGAGGTGTTGGTTGATGTTGATGCTACTTGTCTGGGACTGCACTTTGAGAAGCACTGAAATACTCCTTAAATTTTAGTTTCACACATAAATGGCTTTCTTTTCTCATGTAATTTCTGCAACTGTTTCATTTTTGGAAAACTAAAGAGTTGAGGAAGCTCTGCCCTCCTGGGTCTCTCTAAAGAACTCAGGATACCTTTTGATTAAACCTACCAGTTACTTTGGATATGTTTTCGCAAACTTATCTACACAACTTTACAATGTGGGATTTTGTCTGTTTTTGTATCATAAAATCCTAGTATGGGTGCTCCCTAAATATCCGTTGGATGAATGAATGAACCAGGACTTCAACTTTGTCAGGTTGTTTGGATAAATCCGACAGCTTCCTGAAACTGAAGTAGGCAGAAACTCTGTCTCCTTCCCTCCCTATCACTTCGCTGGCATGTTACAAGCAAAGAAGCCACAGAAATCTGTCAAAATCATTTATTCGTATGCAGGCCCAGAACCTGCCACACGGTTCTGTTCCCATGTGCAGTTGAGGGTTCTGCTTACTCCTTTTCGGCACTGTCACACGCTTCTTCCCAAAATGTTGATCCGCGACAGATAGAGATGACAAAGTCCTCAGTAAGCAGCAAGCACAAGCCACTACCTCACAGGCGGTGGAGCTCTGACTTGTCAGACTCTTTCTTATACTATGTTCATGCAAGGGCTCAGGTCCCTTGTCATCTTTTTAGCCAATAGCATGTCTTGAACACCACTTAATTCACCAACTGAAAATCATTTCTAACACTTCGTACGTGAATTGGTAACCTTTCCGGTGGAAACTTAGGGTATTTGCAGGTCCCCTAAAATATGGACTTCTGGCTAGGGTCCTTCCAATGTTAATAACCTACCCCTGAAGTGTGGCTCCCTGATTAGGGTACTTTACAGGTTAACTGACTGCCCCTAAGGTAGAGAAGATTAAAGTGAATTCCCAGACACATTTATAGCACTCCATTTACACTGGATTACGTTAAAGTAAATTGCAGGCATTATAAAGCCAAGAAATAAAAGTTTTGCTCATGCATTTATTCCCTCACTCTCCATTAAAAGTCTTACAGAGTGGGAATTTAGGCTAAAGGTCGAGAATTCTGAGTTCTATTCTCATTCCAGAGAACTTTAGCTGTGTGATCTCAGACAAATTACTTAACCTCTCTGGGCCTTAGTCTGTCCATTAGTGAACTAGAGACCTGAACTAGCCATTGCTAAAGCTACCCCAGCTCTAAATTGGCAAGGTTGCATTCTTTCAGAAAGACACCATGACTCACTGGCAAAGTTCTATTACCTTCCAGGCCTTAGCCCGGGAGAGGATTACACCCGGAGCATCCATTGTAGGTAAGGAATGAACCTCTCTTCTGCACCTAGAATAGGAAGGGTTATGTGCTCTCCGCGAGAATTGGAAAGAGGGTCACGTCATTTTCGGTGTTCTGAGGTTCAGCTAAGAACCCCGGGGTGAGAAAGATGGCAGAACCACAAAGATCATCTCGCAGAGAACTTCGCAGTCGGGGTGCAACAGATGAGCCATAGGGGTGTCAGCATACTACGCCCCTACATTCACCGAGGCCAGAACCCGTGTGGGGCCTCCGCACTGGGGTGAGGGCAGCCCGGCAGGTTCACGCCACTGCGCCGCACAAAGAGCACCGTTCTCGCCACGCGCTGCGGCAGGAAGAAGTGTGGCGAGCACTCCCGCGTCCCACGGTGATCCTGGAAATGTGCGACTTAGACCAGGGGGTCCTGGTCCTCACCCGAAAATGATGCCCCAGGGAGATCTGAAACACAGGGCGCTGGGCAGCTGAGAGGGAGGGCAGGGCAATCGGTCTGGAACTCTCCTTGTTCGTTCGGGACTCCGCGTTCCCGGGCCTCCCCCACTTCAGCAGACGTGTCTTGTTCCGGTACAAACGCGAGTGGCTCGACGCAGCAAACGTTTATTGTTCCACAGTTTCGGTGGGGGTCGGGAATCCAGAAGCAGCCGAGCCAGGTGGGTGGGGGTCAGGGTGTCTCTGGAGGCGGCGGCCAGGACGCGGGCCGTCCGAAGGCCCGAGGGGGCCTGAAGGAGTCTGCGCGGCTCGCCGGCCCCGGGGGCCTGTCCGCTCGGCAGCTCCGACGGGGCGGCCGCCTCCGCCCACAGCCCCGTGTCAGCTCCTGCCGGATGCCGTGGGTCACGCGGACCACCCCGGCGACAACGTGCTCGGGGGACCCCCGCGGGTATCCCGCAGGCCGGACCGGGGTCAGCGGACCGGTCCCACGTGAAACGTGCGCACACCGCGCTTGCGAAGCGCGCCCAGGGCGTGGACACCACCGCCCCGGCAGGGGCGACGGGGATCTTGTTGGCCTTCTGTTTTGTCTCCAGTTCCTCTGCCGTCTCCCTCTTTCGACTTTTTTCTTTCCAGAAAAATCACCGCTCTTCCCCTTTGCAGCCAGTCCTCCCAACCTAGGTTTCTCCGCCTTCCCCCATACATCTTTCCTTCTCTTCGTTCCCCATGTCTTTTGCTTTCATATTTATTCAGTTATGAGAAAGCCCGGCAAGATTTTGGTTTTCAGTGACTGCAAAGAACAAGTCCACGAGAAATGACAAATACACAAGGACTCTGGCCACTTGAGGTTCTAGTTCTCCCTGAAAAGACACTCATGCGCTGGAAGACGGGATCCTCTCAAAGGTCCCGGAGTTGCCAGGAGGAGGGAAATCGTTTTTCTCGATTGGGCATTGTGTTGGGTGCACGCGGCCCCATTTGGGGTAGAGGCTGTGGTGCAGGAAACCCTGCTCCCCCTGGGCGAGGCGGGGGGGGAGGGGGGGGCTTGGTAATCACCCCTGATTCCGCCCACCCTCGCCAGGAGAGGGTTCCCGGAGCCCCTTTCTATGAGGCGGCCTTGCGGTCCTGCGCTGGCTTGCCTTCAGAAAACCGCAAATTCCCTAAAATCCGGGCACTTAGGATATGGAGCAAAGTATTGTGGTCTCAGGAAATGAGAATGGTAAACATGGCTCACTACTGACCAGGAGTTGAGGCCGCCTGAGCTCCTCCCCAAACAGGCTGCACCTGCCCCCCCTGCGAGCTTGCGGGCAATGCGAAGTCCTTCTCCCAGCTCCCGAAAGCCGAAAGCCGAAAGCCGAAAGCCGGGGCGGCCCCGACAGGCCGCGCCCGGACTGGTGAGGCTCATGCATGCTAAGATGGAGAATCACTTGTGTAAGGAAAGCTTGTGCTGAAAGTACACGCCGGGACCTTGCTATGCATGGAGGGGAAAAAGCCGGGAGGCCCCAGCAGGTAAGACAGAAAAAATAATGGGATGTGACATAAGCTGCCTCTTTGCTTACATTTTCTAGTTCTGAACAGAGACCTGGGGTTGGCGTTACTTCCCTCAGCTCCTGACTTTCCCTCCATTTCCCCGGCTCGGTCTCCAGCACATCAACAAGGAGGAGCCCTGTGCAGCGGCATCCTTCCCCGGAAAGGACCAGGCTTCACTTTAGGGAATGGTAGCTGTGTGGCCCGGGGTGGGGGTGGATCCAAATGACGACAGATGAGATAGACGGCCAAGAACAACTCAGGGAATTTTTTGCTTTGAGTTTTGCCAAAAAGGTCATTTTTTTTTATCACATTTTGGAGCCAACAAGCTTTTAAGCCCAAGAACCACTAGCTGAGTGAAGCAATGCTCGAGTGTGCCACCAGAGGTCGCCAGCAACTGCTCTCAATGCTACCACAGCCCAATGGTCCCTTTTCATAGCAAATGTTTTTAAACATCCTCTTTACTATTCTGAAATGCAACTCGTGGATAATATTACCTACCAACACACCCAATTCTTATATATTTTAAAGACTTTAATATAAAGAAGAAAGGAAAGCAAAGTAATGTGTTACGAACTCATACCTTGGCTTGCCTGTGAATACCTAGAGCTGCAATGGAGTGGTTGGATGTTTGCCCCCGAACGCGGAATCTCTCCCTCTCTGTAACAGCTGCGGGTGTAGATGGAAGTGAGGTGTTAAGTCAGTGAGTCGAATACCACTAGCAGCTTTACCATTGGTGATAGGAGTTTTCTGCAATGGTAAACAAGTCTTGGAAGATCCCAGAACAAAACAAATTATTGACACAATCTTTCTTCAGTTTACTTGTAAATACATTTGTCTTCCTGGCCCTGCAGCCCCCCAGATCCAGCCACCCGGGGGCACACACGGGCCAGGGAAGGTATGTGCCATGTTCTCCTCATGGTGTCGGGGAAGCAAGTGAACCTAGGACACCACTTTTTCTCCGAGTCCCACTTGTTAGCCCCTTTACCACCACCCTTTGTTATAGGTATAATGTTTTCTATGGGCCTCACTTACTGAAAAGGGTTTAACCCTTCCTAGAAGGCATAGTAGCCATATGAATCACATCCCTAAAGTGCTTGCGTGCTGTCCGACCCAGCAACTTCACCTCTAGGAATGTACCCTAAAAAAAAAAAAAATCTAGATGAGATGATCGCTACAAATATGCTCACCAAGCATGGTTTATGACTGTAAAAGTGGAAAGCCATCTAATTGTGCAACAATAAGGGAGTGGTTGAATTGTAGCTACAATCTAGTATTAGGAGTTAAAAATTAGGTTGTTAAAAAGATTTAATCACCTGTGGGGAAAGGATTACAAAATATGAGGTATCTTTTTTTTTTTAATTTTTTTTCAACGTTTATTTATTTTTGGGACAGAGAGAGACAGAGCATGAACGGGGGAGGAGCAGAGAGAGAGGGAGACACAGAATCGGAAACAGGCTCCAGGCTCTGAGCCATCAGCCCAGAGCCCGATGCGGGGCTCGAACTCACGGACCGCGAGATCGTGACCTGGTTGAAGTCGGACGCTTAACCGACTGCGCCACCCAGGCGCCCCAATATGAGGTATCTTCTGATCTCATTTCTATACATTTTAAAAAATATGTAAATGTGTCGTGACAGAGTATCACTGGGAGGTGACACACAGACTTCTTTTTAGTTTCCAGATTTTCTTCGTTGAACATGCTTTTATACAATAAGAAAAGCACTAGTTCTAAAATGATGAGGAAATGTTTCATAAAAGAATCCTATTGTAGCTGTTTGGTGAATTCCATAACTACCCCTACCTTGTGTTTGGTAAATCCCCGCTTTAGCTTTCTTTAAGATTGGCAAGATCGGGGCACCGGCTGGCTCTGTCGGTGGAGCATGCGATTCTTGATCTTGGGGTTGTGAGTTGGAGCTCCACACTGGGTGTCGAGATTACTTAAAAATAAAAATCTTTAATTAAAAATAGATCTACCCTATGACCCAACAATAGCACTGCTAGGAATTTGCCCAAGGGATACAGGAGTGCTGATGCATAGGGGCACTTGTACCCCAATGTTTATAGCAGCACTTTCAACAATAGCCAAATTAGGGAAAGAGGCTAAATGTCCATCAAGTGATGAATGGATAAAGGAATTGTGGTTTCTATACACAATGGAATACTACGTGGCAATGAGAAGGAATGAAATCTGGCCTTTTGTAGCAACGTGGATGGAACTGGAGAGTGTTAGGCTAAGTGAAATAAGTCACACAGAGAAAGACACATACCATATGTTTTCACTCTTATGTGGATCCTCAGAAACTTGACAGAAGACCATGGGAGGGGAAGGGGAAAAAAAAGTTAGAGAGGGAGGGAGCCAAAACATAAGAGACTCTTAAAAACTGAGAATAAACTGAGGGTTGATGGGGGTGGGAGGGAGGGGAAAGTGGGTGATGGGCATTGAGGAGGGCACCTGTTGGGATGAGCACTGGGTGTTGTGTGGAAACCAATTTGAAAATAAATTTCATATTAAAAATAAATAAATAAATAATCTTAGACGCTTAACCGACTGAACCACCCAGGTACCTCTATATACATCATTTTTAACGGTAAATACATATATGTGTAAATATATGCACTGAAATAATATTATACAACCACTAAGAATGAGGTCCCAAAATACAATGTACTTAAGCATTTTTCTAATGTTGGGGACTTAGCTATTCTCCCTCTCCCCTTTTATTTGGTATAAAGTTGCTATGAACCTCTTGGAACAAAACCTTCGTTGATAGATCCAAATATTTCCTAGGGCATTCTAAAAGAGGAATTACCAGATGCAGGGCCGCCTCGGTGGCTCAGTCGGTTCAGCAGCCTAAACTTCTGGCCCTTGATCTTTGCTCGGGTCTTGATCTCAGGGTCGTGACTTTGAGCCCTACTTTGGGGCTCCATGCTGGGCATGAAGCCCACTTAAAAAAAAAAAAAAGAGAAGTACCAGGTACAAATGAGTATCATAACTAAAACTAATGAGACACCCATCCACATGGGTTTTCAGAAAGAGGGTTTCGGTTACCCCAGTCCCTGCAGGGTATAAACGCTGTTGGAACCAAGTATCTGTTTGATCTCACTTTTGCCAGTACCAAGTAGCAGCACCATTTAAAACAGAAAATTAATCAGATGAACAAACAGAAAATCTCCTTCAAGTTACTAAGTGAAAAGTGGCATCATTTTTACTCTAATCTGTTTCTTGGATTGCTAATAAAGTTTACTTCGAAAAATAAAAATAAATAAGTAAAAGCGATTTTTTTACCAAAAAATCAAAATCAAAGATCAAAAATCTAAAAAAAAAAAAAAAAGATTGGCAAGATTTGTCAACGGTGAAGCCAGTTGTGCAATTGACAAGGCCCTGTGCGTTTTCGCGAGGGGAGAACCTGATGCAGTAAGAAGCCGTGAGCTGTCACATCAGGTGCAGAGCTCACTGAGCACCCCACATTTGCCATTGGACGGTCTGCCGTTGTTCGGCCCGGCTGCTTCCTGACCTTTGGCCAGGTACTACAGTGACACAGATTCTGTCCCTTTGTTTAATAGCACTTGGTGGTAGTCCCCAAACAGTAGTTAAACTTGACTGTAAAGGTAGTAGTCACCCCTTAAATCAACCAGGTACCAAACTGATTCATTTTCAAAGCATATCTGGAAGATAGAAGTTTCTAAAAGTTGCTTTTCTTTTCTTTTTAAGTTTATTTATTTTGAGAAAGAGAGACAGAGCAAGTGCAGGAGGGGCAGAGAGAGAGAGGGATTGAGAGAATCCCAAGCAGGCTTCGGGTTGTCAGTGTCGCCCTGAGCCTGATGCGGAGCTTTGAACTCACAAACCGCGAGATCACAACCTGAGCTGAAATCGAGTGGGAGGCTTAACCAACTGAGCCACCCGGGCGCCCCTAAAAGTTGCTTTTGTCATGAGGACAGCAAGGCACCAAGAGGTTTAAAGATTTGCACATTTACCGAATTCCAGGTGCTGTTCTAAGTGCTTGACAAATACTAATCTGTATAAGCCTCGTATCAGCCCTGTGACATGAATATTGTCATTATTCTCCTTTTAAAGATGAGGAAACTGAGGCACTGAGGGGCTAGACAACATGCCCTTGGTCACACAGCTAGTAAGAGCTTGAGCCAAGATAGGAGCCCAGGGGGACTGGTTCCAGAGCCCAGGTGTAATGCCACCTCTCCCTCAGCCTGGTCTTAGGTTTCCAAAGGCTGCTTCTGGTTGGGGAATCAGCCCCTGAAAATGATTGATGGTAACTTAAGGCCAGACTGGTCAGCAAAGGTCTGCGTGGTGGGAGAATGAGGCCAGAGTTGGAAGGATGTGCGAGGTGATGCAATCTGTGGTCTGATGAAAGCCGGCCCAGGCTGATGCAACCACAGATGGAAAGGAAATCCTCCCCTGCTCTTGTTGGACCACACAGAATAGGTCAAAGGCCTGAAATACAGACCCGGGGGTCCCAGCTTTTCATGCTTACGTTCTCTCCAGCTTGAGTGCACCCACAATAGGGACGATTTTGGAATCCATCTGTCCACATCACTGTGTTGGCTAATAGAAAGAGCGGACCTAAATAAAAACATTAAAAAAAAAAAAATAGGGGCGCCTGGGTGGCTCAGTCGGTTGAGCGTCCGACTTCGGCTCAGGTCACGATCTTGCGGTCTGTGGGTTCCAGCCCCGTGTCAGGCTCTGTGCTGACAGCTCGGAGCCTGGAGCCTGCTTCGGATTCTGTGTCTCCCTCTCTCTCTCTCTGCCCCTCCCCTGTTCATGCTCTGTCTCTGTCTCAAAAATAAATAAAAACATTAAAAAAAGAGAAAGAAAGAAAGAAACAAAGAAAGAAAGAACCACGCCCACCATTTTTCATACATCTTACCATGGATTCAGGAAACCCATGCTTCTGTGAAAACCCTGTGGCACCTGTTCCAATTGATTTCCCTTGGGATCTTGTGATATGCGGGTACATCTTATCTTGCAAAGCTAATGTTGAAATTCTTCTTCGGCATCTCCTTGCACTTGGGACAAATGTCTAGATCCTTGATGAGGTCTGAACGGACCAGGAGGATCTACTGCCAAGCTTCTTTCCACACTTGGCTGTGTGCCTGCCTCGCCTTAACCAGTCAGCCCCCAGCTGGCAGACTGTACCTAAAAAGATTTCCCTCAGCATTTCCTGACCACCCCCAGCCCCTCTGCCCTTAATGACACTCACTACAGTGGAAATGTGTTAATTTTATGTGTAATTATGTGTGTAATGTATCTGCTTAATGTCTGCCCCCTCCCCGCCCCTCGGACCACGAGCTCCAAGACAGCCATCGCGCCCCTGACATTTGTAATGCCAGTGCCTGGTTTACAGGTGTGCAGTGTGTATTGTGAACCGGCTGTTTATAAATGTCTACACTTGCCTGACATGAGCAAGTCCTCCATAGCTTCCCGGCCCTATAGTAAATACCAAAAAGTGGGAATGGGGATTTTCTTAAATCAACTAAACATAACTGTCTAATATGTAATCGCCGGTGTCTGGCATCTATAATGCTCTTTCCACAAGGAGAAATCGTCAAAGATCCGCAGGAGTAGAGAGAAGAGTACGGTGACCTCCGACATAGGCACCACTCGGCTGTGATGGTTATCGGTCATCGGCCCACCCGGTTTCCTGTGACCGTCTTACAAGGTACCCCAGCGAGGCCACCACTGTTGCTGGATAATTTTAAAGCCGCTCTCAGATATCAAATTATCTCAACCACGAATACCTCAGCATGTATCTGTTACAGATAAGAAGTCTTTTTAAAATGACTTTGATAGTGTCTGGACACCTAAACAATTCTTCGATATCATCAAACATCTAGTCAGTGTTTAAATTGTCCAAATTACCTACTAAATGTCTTTGGTTTTTTGGGGGTTTTTTTTGTTTTTTTTTTTACATTTGGTTTGTTTGAGACAGCCAGATTTCATTTGCCTAACAAGTCTCTTAAATCTCTTAACATATGACACTTCCCTTGTCCTGTTGTTTTTAAATCCTGCCATTTGGCTTTTTTTTTTTTAATGTTTATTTTTGAGCGAGAGAGAGCGAGCGGGGGAGGTGCAGGGGGCGGGGGGGACAGAGGATCCAAAGCAGGCTCTGCGCTGACAGCAATGAGCCCGATGCAGGGCTGGAACTCACCAACCGTTGAGATCATGACCTGAGCTGAAGTTGAACGCTCAACCGACTGAGCCACCCAGGCGCCCCCGGCCACTTGGTTTTTAAAGACACTAGTTCATCTCTCCTATAATGTTTTCCCCATCTTTTGATTTTACAGATTGCATCCTGTCAGCTGGTAGGATGTCTAAGGCTTGCTGGAGTTCTAGTTTGATTTAGAGGCAGGAACATTCTGCAGACGAGTGAGGCACCTGGGCTGGTCTCTGGCAGAAGGTGCAGGCTGCTGCTTGATCAGGCGCTATTTGGTCATGCATTATAAAGTTCCTGGTGGCTAGATCTGTTATTGAACGTCAGGGATATGAAAACTCCAGGATTCCTTCTGTATTTATTGGCAGAAACTGTCCCATAAAGAACTTTCCCTAACTATTGGTTTACAAGAGGCCAGATAAAACCTTGATTCTTTCTTTTTACCAGGTGTTTTTTTTTGTTTGTTTGTTTTTTTTTTTTTACCAGTTTTCAGAATAATTACTATTGGACAGTTCTTTGTTTCTCAGTATTTCCAGTGGGGACAGTTAGGATGTACAGTAAAACCTTGGATTGCGAGTAACTTGTTCTGCGAGTGTTCCAAAAGACAAGCAAACATTTCTAATAAATTAAAAAAAAATTTTAACATTTATTTATTTTTGAGACAGAGAGAGACAGGGCATGAATGGGGGAGGGTCAGAGAGAGGGAGACACAGAATCTGAAACAGGCTCCAGGCTCTGAGCTGTTAGCACAGAGCCCGACGCGGGGCTCG